GTGGGGAGACCTAGAATTAGCAAGTTGGCGTAGTAATGTTAATGTAAACTCATTGGTACTGGTAGCTGGTGTATATGGCAGGGAATATCTGCATAGCTGAAGATGAACTACAAGGCAGTCCAGGGAACAGAAAAAGAGCCACCAGGAGGAGAAAGTTCATGAGTGGATTTGAAAAAATTGAGGGAGCCGGGCCTTGAGGAGAGAGGTTAGCACAACTCCAAAGGGGTCAAGGCGACTGCTGGCATCTGATCAGTGATGGGAAAGCTCCAGTAGGCCAAAGGGGAGAGCTGAACTTGATGCTGAGATGGGAAGAGGCAAGAGGTGGGGCTTCTGTTGGCTAATGAGCAACCTCAAGAGAATAATGATGAAGGAAACTTCACTCACTGAGTACCTACTTACATGGTTGGGCACTGTGGTAGATGCTTTCTTCACTTTATTGGTTATGCAGATATTATCTCCATTTCATACTGGGGGAAACAAGCCTAGAGAAGGCGACTTCACTTATTCACCAAACATATGTACTTGGAATATAAAGATGATTAAGACAGTCCTCTCTTTAAGGATCACAGATTACTTTAGGTGACAGATCCAGAGGCAAATCATTTGATTACAAAGTAATCCTTAAGCAAGAGTAGGTGCAAGCACAAGGTGCAATGAAACCAGAAAGAGGTTCCCCACATCACAGGATCAGTACGTGTCAGAGCCAGGATTCAAATCCTGGACTGTTTGAATCTAAACCTCAGCACCTTCCACAACTCTACCTGCACAGATGTGTCAGGACCTTTAGTTTCTGTCCAAGTTCTGGGAAGGAAAGAAGCCCTTGCTACTTGCAGGGAATTTTTAAGTGCAAGGAATCGGAATGTGGTATGTACAGGTGACCCAGTATCAACGCAGCCCCAGAAAAGGAAATGATGGGGCTGCCCTCATGGTTACCAGGTAATGGAGACCCTCCCCGGGACAGATTGATTCTAGAACCTGGAGGTGGCAGTGAGTGGTTTTAGTTCTGTGAGCTATTGAAGGCAGGAAACCAGGCCGGCTCTTAGAGAGGCAGACTGGGACCAGAGAATGGAATGTTTCAAAAATCAAGTTGGGATCGAGAGGAGAGGCCCTATTAGGAGCGGCAGTGGGAGTATGAGAATGAAATAAGACAATTCTTGGGTTGGAGGGAGAACTTGCCCAATTGTAACAGGGTGCACCCAAGAAGGGGGCCCCAAATAGGGATTTGTAATGGGGTCCAGAAGAGCTTGGAGATATTTGGCTCCACACCACAGGGCCACACCCGCCCGGAATGCTGGTAGCTGTAGCCAGTTGTGGGAGGAGCTAGAAAAGAGGCTGCAGAAGAAGATTGGCGCAGGATTTAAACGGAGGCGCAGCAGCCATTTGGCGGCTCTCTTTTGGGGACCATGCGGCTTGGGTGAGAGTCAGGACCCTGAGGCTTTGAAAGTGCTCCCTTTTGCCACGTGGAGGGTGTCGGGAGGATTGTGTGCGTTTGTGGAGAACTTTAGTTTGTATTATTTCAAATAAATAATGAATTCCTTTCCATTTCACTGACCTCTGGTATTGAGATGTCTTTTCTCAGGCAGTGGGCAAAGCGAACCCAGTAGGTGGGGAGAAACCCCCAGAGAAAAAGGGGAGTCTTTTATATCGTTCAGCCCCCCACCCCCGTCTGTTCTGTAACACAATCTCGAGGCTCATCACCTCCTTTTTGGTTCTGTTGCATTCAACAGATCCTGACAGGACTGTCTGACTTTTTGAAAAAACTATTTTGCTTAAAAAACAACCCCCCTTCTTCATACTGGATCTGGAAGAGGCCTGGGGCCCTAATCCCTTCTAGAGATGCTTTCCCCTGACTAGTGGTTGGACAGCCCAAGCCAACCCTCCACAACTGGGAAAGGGCTGTGAGCCACACCCCCAGGGCACACGAATGACAACTCTCTCTGGAACAGTGGCAAGGCAGGGGCGAGGAGGATAGGACCAGAGAAGGACCAGAGAAGGCAAAGCGTGGAGCAGCTTGGGGAAGAAAGCCTCCCTGGGCAGGTGGCTCCATTTGATTTCTGATTTAAAGGGGGAGGCTTAGATAGCCAAGAAGAAAAAGGCTAATAAGAAAAATATTAAACTGCAGCGTGTGTTCCCCCAGGGACTTCCTGTTGCCATGACTGACCTCCTAGAGAGCGCCATTCGTTCCCGAGCATGGCAGCTTTATAGGCACTTGTAGGCCTGCAAAGAACACCAATTTGCTGCTGCAGTTTGTTTTGATAACTGAAACTTTCAATAAATCTATATTAAAATCAAAGGGAAAATTAACTAGGCCCCAGTGAGGGGCACGGAGATAAGGGAGCACATTACCACCCTGGCCTCAGCCACCCCACATCCGTCTCTTAGTTCAGATTCAGGTCACCAGGGAGACGAATGGCTCAGGCTCAAGGGGAACAGCCCTGGGGAGAGCAGGGCGAAGAAGGCATGGCCAGGTCTAGCCCCACAGCTCCTGGAGCAGAGAAGTCTGTGGGAGTAGAATGGGGGGTGAGGAAGTGGGGTGGTGGTGCTCATGGTGGGAAGAGGAGCTGGAGAGGAGGACGGGAGAGGGGCAAAAACAATGGAACTAGCCAATATTTACTGAACTCCTGATACTGTGCTAAGCACGTTTGTATTTAATTCTAACAACAAGTAGGTACTAATATTATCTCCACTCTGTAGATGAAGAAAGTAAGCCCCAGAGAGGCAAGTGACTTGCCTAACATTACAGATAGAGCCTGGACTCACACCTGGACAGGCTCTCTCTGAGCTCACACTCCTCTAACTGCACTCTGCTGTCTTACGGAGCTTACAGGAACTGTGAATGGCAGAAGTGGTTCTTCCAGTGCTCAGATACAAACGTTTCAGACCCAGCCTGGGTTCTCTCAGTTGTGCCAAGTTTGGAACTGCCGTGTACTGTCCTTGGGTCTTGGGTCCTCTGCCTTCTGATTGCTGGCTAACGTCCCAGCTTTGATGGCCATCTTGTTGTTTTTCCTGGTGGGTTGACAGGGCAGTAGAAGAACCAACTTGGTCCTCTTTTTGGTCCCTGTTCTCAGAGTTCACTTCAGCTCAGTCACTTAAACCACCAGCCAGGAGGTGGCCCAGGGTACGCCTACTATAGAAAGCCTGTAACCCAGATAGTATAGGTTTACTTCATTCTTATGGCCGAGATGGTTGGCTATGCTCTATTCTCAGGCCAGATTCAGGATATAATAAAGTGAGAGACAGGAGAGGCCATCTCAGGGCCTTTTATTTGTTTAAATTTATTTATCCATTTCCATACTTGTTTATTTGTCCCACCTTTCCCCTCCCCAATTTAAAAGCTCCTTGAGGATACAGATTTTGTGTGTCTTATTCAGTGAATCCTCAGCAACAGAAACAGTGCCTTAGTAGAGGCACTTAGTAGAGGTACTATAAATATATGTTGACTGACTGATCAACTAGGATTAATATTTAAATGACATTAATGTAGGAGGAAGCCCCAACTCCAGGTCCAGAATCAGAGAATACAGGCAAATGTGCTTCCACTTTACTGACCTTGGGTTAAGGGACATCTGTCCCTGCTGATGTTTATTCACCTCATTTGTCCACAAGCATTTATTGCATGCCTGCTTTTGCCTAGTACTGGGCTGGGTATTACTGATATAGCGCGAACAATATGGAAATATGCTTACCTTAATGGAGTTTACAGCCCTGGGGGAGAGACAAAAGGGAAATAGATACTTATAAAACAATGTGATAAATTCTACAGATGCAAAGCAGAATCACATAATGTGACATTAAGGAAGGTAGTCCCAGCTCAAGCAGGAACAATTATGTGAAGGTTGGATCTCACAGAGGTGGCAGGACCCAGAAATGGCATCAATTCTCTTAAGTGAAAATATGCAGACAGCAGACAGAGGGCTTGGTGAGGGAAGCTAGGCCCAGGAGATGGTTCTCAACTGTTTGGGAGCTGTCAAAGCCATCGCTGGCTTGGCCAAGGGCATAGTATCCCGGCTCAGAACCTGGTACCCAAGAATTCCCTGAGGGCCATAACCTGGATGAAGAAACATATCTCTGGTTTTGGACAGACAGAAGAGACTGGAAGAGGCTGTCTGTGGAAGCTCCCCACAGTTAAGGCCAGAATCCTTTTAACCCTTAAGTACCCTCTGGAGCCGACCCGAACAAGTTATTTTCCTTTCTTAGAAAGGTCCTTGAGATATCTTAAGGAAAAAAAGCCAGGTATTTTCTTCTTAGCCTAAAACACACCTTTTCTCAGTTCTTCCCCCTGGCCCTCCACAGAGAGTGGACTTGTTGAATGAACAAATCATGAGAAAGTGTCATCTAAATATAACGTCGCCTTATGAACCTATACTCACTTTATGAATATATTGTAAGGTGGAAAACGAGAAGTAGACCTGGGTCGCTCTAGGCCTTGCAAAGTTTTCATTTAAAAAAAAAAATTTCTTTCACAGTCGGTAGTGAGCCCCAGTTTACTCTTCTGAGTACGTACAACCTCAAAACTACAAGTCCCATAAGGCTGGCCACGGAGGATCACCATTTTGACACTCTTCAGCGCGCATGTCGGCGGGAGAGAGAACAGTTGTAGAGAAGAAGCCCCGCCCACCTGCATACCATTGGTCGAAGTAGCCCGTGGCGGGCTCAGCGGTTGGCCACCGCGCCCGCCCATCCGCTGCGTCGAACGGGGTCAGAGTGCGCGGAGGTGAGTCGGTGTGTTGTGGACTCGTGGTGCTGGCTGCCGCTATTGAGGCAGCCGGCTACGGGCGGTGGGGAGCGGGCGGCGCTGGCCCTGCCTCTGCCCGGCCAGCGCCGCAGTCGGCGCGGGCCGCGCCCGCCGCCATAAACTGCCCTGAGCGCCTGATGAGGCCGAGGGAGACGTCGGGGCCTGCACTTGGAGGGAGCCTGCCGCGCTGGCCCCAAGGAGGGGGCGTTGCCATGGCGACAGCCTCTCCCGCTGCGGACTGGGGGCGGGGGCGGCCCTGGGAAGGAGGGCTGGTCTCCTGGCCCCCTGCCCCTCCCCTTACTCTCCCCTGGACTTGGATGGGCCCGAGTTGGGGGCAACACCCTGGGGTGGGTGATGCAGAGAGGCCCCCCTAGATCTGGGCCCTGGTTGATGCATGCCGGGGTGCGGGTCGCGGCGCGCACAGTTTGTGCGGTTTGGGTGCTGGCCCATGTGCTCACCCTGGATGCGTGATCTACTGAGTAACGCTCAGGCAGAGAGGGAGCGGGGCAGGGCTCTGCAAGACATTGGGTGAGGTGACTAACGGTGCTGATTTCTTACATGGGATTACCAGGGAGGGTGAGGGGTTTGACCAGAGGATAGAAACCCAGCAAGGAGATTGTAGATAGAACATCCCCTTTCTCCTTTCCCACCACCCACAAGTACACACAGATTAGCAGTTTACCCTATGTAAATCTGAATCTGTAGTGGTGGTAGTGATGGTGGAAGGACTGAATAAGGGGCCTAACTGGGGTTGCTTTCTGTTTGTTCTGCAAATGTTACAGCAACAGGTGCTTTCTTAAAGCATGAACTAGGATTGAGGCTTGACTTTTGAGTTCTTGCAAAATATAACCGCTCCTTGTTGATTTGGAAGATGCTGAATGTGGCCCCTCACTGGGGGTTTGGATTCTGTCCTTAGTGCTGGATTTTGTTAACTGATGGTTCCTATGGTTGCCTCTGCTACAAGTGTCTGGCCACTCTATGTCATTGGCTCTTTTCAGACATTTTAGCAGTCTCCCAGCTGAAGGGCAAAAGAAAACACGAATCCTATTGGCGAAAGACTATGCACTATTTGAACTATAGTAGGCTGTGATTGGCTGAATGATTTTTGATTGTAGCGTTTCTACCAGAAATTGGCTTCATCAAATTCTGCTTTATTCTGACTTTATCATACACAGCATGCCTTGTTTTAGTGGGTTCATGCCTGGAGCTTAAGTATATTATACTTGAATACCCTACCATTTAAAAGCCAATTTATAAACAGGGACCTGGAGTGTGACACCACTAATGTGTATGTCTGTGATCTTGGTTAGAAACCCACTTGGCTGGCTTTCCTCATAGAGGTAGGGGGGGCGGGAGAAGAGAGCTGCCGGGAAGTGATTGATAAGGTTTCCTTTATGGATTCTGTGGTGCTTCACTGGAGCTCAGAGCACTTTGGCAACTTAAGCACTCCAAATTAAAAGCTCATTAACAATTCCTGCCCAAGGATCCTGTAAATAATCCTCTAGCTAGGTCATGGAGTTTGGCTGAGAGCTCTCCTTTCAACTTAAAATTCCAAATAAAAGTGCTTTTATTCCCTTTCATCTTGAAAAGTGTTTTGTTTGTGGTGGGGTAAGTTGGCGAGTGGCATTTTCTCAGAGGACCCAAGTAGAATAAAGTCATGTATAAAAAGTGGTAGACAGGAATAGGCGATTCCAAACCTAGGTGTTTCTTGTGCAAAGGGCACTCATTGCTGGCTTATAAGGGCTCCTCTGCAACTTCTAGACCTTTGGAAGATCTTAATTAGGCAATAAATATGTTAGTTGTCCATTGATGATTTTACTTGGGATTTGGTTACTTTGACTTTCTAAGAATTTGAGGCAAACCTGGAAGTATCCTGCAAATTTCTTGGTTTATGTGACCATTTGCAATGTGGCTTGAGCATTTGTGGCAACCAACACTTCCTCCAATCCCAGCCTCAGTTCCTGAGTTCTGAATATTGTCAACCTCCTTTACTAGACTAGGATTCTGGGATTATCCAGAGAGCCACCACTTCGTGGCTCTCTTTCTCAGTCCAAATTTAGATACTGTAACTGTTTGGAGTTTCTAGGAGATAAGCGTCTTTAGGAAGAGAAGTATGCTACTAGAGAACATGAAATTCATTGTTCCAAAAATATATTGCTAGTAGCTTCTGAACCTTCTGCACGGGCACCATGCTTCCACATAGTTGGCTGTTACCCCAAAGTAGTTTGAGTTCAGAAGTTTGAAGTATACTGTTGGTTTTTAAATTGGTTCAAACAGCAGCCCCCTGGGGATTTGATCCTTTGTACTGAAATAGACTTGTTGCAGAGATGTGTATTTATCTACAGCATTGGGGCTTTCCAGCTCTCACAGAACCTTCAGCATCCCCAGCCACCAGCCTTGGCATCTTCGAAGTAAGGAGAGGTGAGAATCCTGCTGCATGATCAAGTTTGGCTTGACTTCTTCCTTATGAGTATTGGGGCTTGGAGGGTGAGGGGTCAGGGCCGGTGCAGATTGGATTTTTCTGTAGCTTTTTCTGACAAGACACCATATGCTTAAAGGCCATTGAAACTTACTCAAAGTCTATAAGGTATAAGAGTTGACTTGGGGTATCCAGACTTTCAAGTTCTGTCATGGTTTCTTCCTGGGCATTGCATATATATCTACTTCAGGTTCTGAAAGGTTTACTAGAGCTGGAATAGTTCTTTATTCTAAGAAATAGACATCTTCAGACAGTAGGAAGGAACACATTCATTTTGACTTTTGATAATACATTTGACCAAGACCTTTGGGATCGTGGTTTAATTTGGTTTGTGAGTCACCTCTGGATAGATGGTTAATTCTAGCCTATTTTCATTTTACAAGGATCGGGGCTGACTAAAAGGTGGACTCTGATGATTGATAGCCAGGATCTCAGAGGCTGTTTCTTTAATAATTAAGGGCCAGACACTTTGCTATGTCCTGGGATTGCGGTGGTAAATAAGATAGCTGCTGTCCCTGACACCAAAGAGCCTACCAATTCATGGGGGAGACAGGCAGTAAAGAAGCAATTATAATATATTCTGAGGGTGCTATAATAAGGTCAGCGTAGGTGCTTTGGGAGTACTCAGAAGGGTCCCTCACCCAGACCAGTGGGCTCAGGGAAAACCTTTCAGAGGAGGCTCAGAAGAGGAAGTAACCTCTTCTTCTGGAATGAAAATATGAGGGACCATGTGTGAATGTGAGAGTTTTGTTGAATTTGAGAAACTGAAGTTTAGTGTGATTGAAAGAGTACTCTGGGCAGGAGGCAAGAAAATGTGGTGAGAAGTGACGTGGGAAAGGTAAACAGAGTCCAGGACCTTATAGGTGGGGGGAAAAATTAGGCTAGGTCAGCAATCTTTTTCTGTAAAGGACTGGTAAATATTTAGGCTTTGTGGTTCTCTGTCACAACTACTCAACTCTACTCAATGCTGCTCTTACAGCATGAATGCAGCCATAGGATGAAAATGAATGAGCATGGCTGTGTCCCAGTAAACTATAAGAACAGTGGCTGCAATTGGACCCATGGACCATAGTTTTCCAGACCCTGGATCAGACTCTCATAAGAGCAGTAAGAATCCATGGAAAGGTGTTAAGTGGTGGACTGATAATACATTTGTGTTTTAGAAAGTCTGCTCTGATTTCAGTGTTAAGAATGGATTGAAGAGGATAACACTAGAGCAAAGAGACCAGTAAGGAGGCTGTGGCAGTTACATGGGTAGTATTTTATATTTTCCTCTTTGAGGCAGTATTTTGACACTTAAAGATTGAATATGTGAATCTCTGCCTATATATGTATACTTGTTCTCTTTACTACTAATTTTCAGGACATTTACTGGAGCTTAAAGATATTAGCAATACCAGCTCCTATTTCACAGACTAGAAAAGGTGTAGGAAGGGAAAGTTGGTGTCGATGGATTGAAAAGACTTTGGGAAGCCTTTCCTATTTAAAGAAGTATAGAATAAATGGAGCCCTGCTGGGATCTTGGTCTTAGGGATCTAGATCTTAGCTTAATGTCAGTTGCTTTAAACTTCTGGAACTATGCACACAGAGGAGGACCCATTTTCCTAAGCTTTCTAGGAATTGAGAACAATTCCTAGATTATTCCTAAATTATATGTCTTACTTAGTCTGTCCTTGCTTATCACAAACTGATGACCTTTTTCCTGGCTGTGGGAATGTCTCCTAGTCAGGCACAAGGACCAAATAAAGTTGAGTGTCTGATGATTTGTCCTTAGCCTCTTCAAAACCCCAGTGTGCTTGCATCACTGAAGGGTAGCCTGTAGGTTTCTAATAACGGTGTTCTGTGATCTTGGCTAAGTGACTTACCTCTGAGTTTAGCTTTCCTACCGGTAAAATGGAGATAATGGAACTTAATAGGGTTGGTTAAAGGTTTTAATGAGATAATGTATGTAAAGCTCTCAGCGCAGTGTCTTTAACCTTAGTTACCAATGATATTTTGCACAATAATTTTGAAAATTATTAATTGTTACATAATTGATAACTTTTGTTACTAATAGTATCTTACACAGTAATTTTGAATAATAATTTTTGAGAGCAGTCAGCAACAGTTGGGTCCTCACGATTGTAATTGTGGCCATAGGGTAGAAACATAGACCCTGGCGGAGCAGCCAGCAGACAGGAGGAAGTTACATCTAAAGCAAGGCACTGCTCTTCATATTGGAATATTTTCAGACATCAGGAGTCCCATTTAGAATCCCAGAACTTTATTCCGAGTGGGCCTTAGCCCCAGTACCATCAGTAAAGCAAATTGAGAGAGCAGCTACCCGAAAGTAATTCACCGAAGTGTGACCAGTCATTTCTCCTAGTCTGTCAGGGTCATTTATTAGTGTTGCTACCCTTGTGGACCTACATCTTTGTAAAGAGCCTCTAGATGTCTTTTATTACTTTCACCACCACTCCGGGAGTGGGTCAGGTGGTCAGTATTCATTATCATCCCTGCTACCCATTGAGGAAACTGAGGCCCTGCGAGGTTAAGTGTGCTTGCTGCCTGAGGCCATACGGTCAGGTGTTGGGAGAACTAGTGCAGATTTGCCTCCAGACGGAGTTCTGTTAGTTTATTGCTGTGATTTCTCTTCTTTGGAGTGAGAGATGTGTAGTCACTGCAGAAATACATTCTGATGCATACCTTGTCCAGATTTGCTAGGCTTGATTTGGGTCCCACTTTATCCACTTGGTCCTGTTGGGTTTTAATTGTTGGCTTCCAGGAACAGGCCTGCCAGGAAGTAGATTCCCTTTGGGTCATTGTTTTTAGCCCATCCTCCTTTGGGGACATTCTTGGGGGAGCCTTGGGTTACGAGAGATTGCTTTGATATGTTCAAAATTGTGCCTTGTGCCCCACAGCTACAGGTAAAATCAAAAGGCAGATAATTTATGGGAGTGTCAGAGCTGGCCGCTGGCACCTCAGGAGGCCATTAGTATGCCTGTTCAGACCCTCTGTGTCCTTGCAATTGATTCCTCTTTGCATGAGCTTGATTTGGGAAGCTGTAGATCTGTGGGTAGTGATTGGATGTGACAGTCCAAACACTGGTCCCTAAATTAATCCTTTTAATAGTATTCTGGCACCAAGGCGGTGTCTCTCTCTCTCTCTAACCGGGAGGACAGAGTGGGGTGGTTTAGGAGGAAGCCGAGAGACAGAGAGTGTGAGAGAAAGACGCTTTGCTTGGTGCTTATGCCCTGCTCTGCTCTAACGTGTTTTGATTCCAGAGCAGTTGACATCATGACTTTGGGCTTACACATTCTTTTAGCAAACACTGACTCGCACTTACTTGTGCCTGGCTCTGTGCTGGGAATACAGAAATGAATAAGACTTGATCCTTGCCCTTAAGGATTTATGTCTAATTCAGTGTTTTTCAGACTTTTAAAACTCATGCACTTTTACATGAGAAAAACTAATCTTATGCTTTTTTTTAATGCTACTTGAAATTTTAAAATGCATTCAGGGGTCTGACCAAAAACAAGTCAGAAATTATCATGTTGGATATGATTTTTTTAAGCCCTCACTGGAGAACATGCTTATTGATTTTAGAGAGAGAGGAAGGAGTGTCGAGGGGAGGGAGAGAAACATTGATGTGAGAGAGAAACATTAATTGGCTGCCTACCGTATGCACCCCAACTGGGGACTGAACCTGTAATCTAGGTATGTGTCCTGACTGGGGATTGAACGTGCATCCTTTTTTGGTGTAGATTCTCAACCAGTGGGATGATGCCCAGTCAGCTGAGCCACCCACCTAGGGCTCAGACAGGATTTTTTAAACACGTGTGCACACACATACGTCTACACCTGCTGTCTTCCATCCTCACCTCCCTGAAAATGACTGATAGGGGAGAAACAGATAACCGAAAACCTTAACAATATAGGAAGATAAAAGTTATGAAATAGCGATAAACTGCTACTGGATCACACTTAACCTTATGATGAAGTGTCAGAAAAAGCTCCTAAAAGGGGGAGATTTGAGCTGGATTTAGAAGGAGGAGCACTATGTGCCTGGGGAAGTACATTTTAAAACAGAGGAAAGAGCATTTGCCAAGGTCCAGGGAGTTGAGCACGAGCCGGTTGTCACCTTGCCTCCGCCGATGTCTCCGCTCTGCGAGGTGGCAGGGTTTGCTCCTCTGGAACCGGGTTTGAGAGGAGGCCTTGAGTCCCTTGTGACACAGTTGTTTCTATCCAGGGTTCCCCTTCCTGCTTCTCCTTTGTGTACTCAGGGGCGCAATTTGTTATTCTTCTTTAAATATTTTTTAAAAATGTTATGTAAACTAATTTGAATGACTTGGACAAGCCTAATTAATTATTGCTTGTGGTTGAGTTACGTTTAGTTAAAGTCACACCTTACCTCAAAAGAAAAACTGAAGTTGATATGCACTGTTAGTCTTATGGCTGATGGGGGAATCAATCCAATGGGAAAATGTGGGTCCTCAGATGTGGGAGAGGAGAATTGGACCCCCAAAACCTGAGTGCCTCCGAGCCTTAGTTTTCTCATATGTAAAATGGTAATAATGTCACCCATTTAGCTTGATTGTTGAGAGGACCAAATGAGATGAAATATGTAAGTTCCCAATAGTGTGCCCGGCTTGTAGATTTTCAGAAAATGTTTTTCTTTCCTTTTTATCATTGTTGTATTAACAACAATAGTTCTCTTTTACTGACCACTTATTATTGTGCCAGGCACTTTATTATACATTGTGTGACTAAATTGAGCCTGTAAGAGATAGGTGTTATTATAGCTATTATTACAAAGAGGATATGGTGGAGTAAGGATTCGAACCTAAGCTTGGCTAATGCCAGCATTTTTTAAAAGATTTTTTAAATTTATTTTTAGAGAGAGGGGAAGGGAGGGAGAAAGAGAGGAAGAGAAACATTAATGTATAGTTGCCTCTCATGTGGC